CTAGATCTTGATGAAGATGTTTCCCTAAGTCATAGTATGGACGAGTACTATAAACTCAACGGTATACTCCATTGAGCACGAGTCAGTTCCTAGATCTTGATGTTCTCCTCCGTCATAGTGTGGACAAGTTCTATAACCTCAGTGGTATACTCCATTGAGCACGAGACAGTTCCTAGATCTTGATGAAGATGTTTCCCCCCAATTAAATTATGAACAGGTTCTTAAAACTCAGCTGAAGCATTCTCTCAGTTGAAGTACAAGCAGGTTCCTAAATCTCAACAAAGTTAGACTTCCCCAGCGGAATCTTCTACAACAACAGGTATGCAAGTTCTCGCTAAGGAATCTCTTATGCAATCAACACTCCTGCAGATGGTATCTATAAGCCCATCCTCCTACCAACAATATCCAAATGGCATCTGTAAGCCATTCCCGACGTCACAATGCTGATACTACACCATGCGAGTGCAAATTTCTGGGCACTCTAGTGTTCAATTATCTTCCACCTTCAGATCACGAAAGGCTCGAAAGCCAATCTATATCCTCAGGTTTAAGAAAATTGAACAGGGGCAACTGTTGTACCCCAAAATTTGCCCTCTCATGTTTTCAAAGGTCTTCCCTTACATGGTTGGTCACAAACCCTTGCCTAAGGAAAATAAAGTTTTTTGAAGATGAACAAAGTGTCTTTCGATTGGCATCTGGGAAAAGTCGTTGATTGGGTATCCAAAATCCTTCGATACAGGCTTGACTCACCAGTCTTCGATTGGGCATTTGGCACTCTTCGACCAGGCTTTGATTAGCAAGCTTCAATTAGGTGTTTGGAACCCTTCGATCAAGCTTTGGTGTGCAAGTCTTCGATTGAGCGCTGGACCCCTTCGATCAAGTCAATTTCACAATGCTTCGACTAGTACTTCAGAGGGTCCTTCGACTGGAACTTCATACTTTACCTCAATCAGAACATCAGAATGAAATGACCTTCGAATGGCATTTCAGTGCAGAGTTTCTCTTAATCTAAGATGCTCTGATGAAGGAAGTTCTGAACACTTCGAATAAGAACTTAGACTCATCACAAGGCCAAGGGCTGGTCGAAGTTTTCTAATAGGGAATGTTCTAAATAGATTCGAATTGGACTTTGAAGCTGGCAAAGAAGGCCCATTCGAAGGGTACATAAGAAATCCATTCGAAGGAGGCAAATCAAGACCAATCGAAGAGCAGGGCCTGAAGGCATTCGAAAATCAAAAGTGTCCAGGTTCATTCAAGATTCCAAAGAGACATGAATATTTCAAAAAAGGAAATCTTTTAATATGTCTGATTCTTGTCTCATGGCTTTAAAGGCCTAATTAAATGGTTGTCCCTTGCCATTTTCATGCACCCTCACACTCCTATAAATACGAGGCCAGTGACACATTACAGAGGGAAAAAAACACACAAAAGCTCTGCAGAAACGAAAAACCCACGAAGACGGCCACACATACCTTGCCTTGCAAAAGCACCAGCCTGCCCCACGAAAGTCTAGACTCCATTGCAGTCACCTTCCGTCCAAATCCAGACGCCCCCAGTGGTATAATGTTCAATATCACTTAATCTTAAAATTACTCATAATTGCATATTCATAGTTTTTTTTGTTATTACTTGTGAGCGATTTAACAAAGCATGTATAAGCTGCAGTGTTCATACGTTTGAACCCCCCATGGATAAAGTTTCTTTCAAAGCAGGTTACATTTGAAATCCATGATCTTGGCTGTGACAAATCGAAACCAACCCAGATCTGGGTTCAGGAATTGATTTCGAATGAGACGTTTCTCTATGTTGTTTAGTTCTGAATTGGCTAATTTGCAGGGCCAAAAGCAGGAGTCATGCCTTTTGAATGAGCAAACAGCTCAGGGGTGAAAGGGAATTCGCTCAATCGAAGGGACTAGGATCCAATATCACCGGCCTTGTATTTTCAATTTCTAACAAACTTCCTTGTAGGTCCAACATCCCAGGTCCCCCAAAACCTTAATGTATTTTGTTTTCAGGTAATCCCACGCAGCGTGCAAGAACGGGGTCCACCATATGTCTCAGGTGCCCATGCGCCAGGTGGTTCCAGATTCAGATCCAGTGGTCTAGGATGAGGTCTACCATGAACCTTGGTCAACAAGAGCCCAGGCAATCTGAAAGTCAACACAGGCTGGAATACGTTTGGGCCTGGGAATTACCATTCAAATGCCAACTTCAGGCCCAGCACCCCCCCTGAGTTTGTTTATTTTATTTTTTTCTTTTCACTACTTTCTATTTTCTATTTTCTATTTTGTTATTATTAACTAATTAACTTTTCATAAAATCAGAAAACCCCCCAAAAAAATATTTATTAATTTCCCTATTTTTATTTTTGTAAATAAATTGCAGCAAATTAATTTAGTTTTTAATTAGGTTTAATCTTAACATATTTTGCATTAAACTAAAATTGATTTAGAATTAGGGTTTTGATATATTTTTACTTTTCTAATTTTATTTCCTTAATTAAAATAAAACTCAAAAAAATATTTTCTTTTTTTAATTAATTAATCATTAGTTAGGCTTAATTCTTAAATCAAAAGACCAAAAATATGCTTTATTTAATGAAAAAAGGGTCAAAACCCTAGGACACTCTGATTCAATTTTTCTCGCGCGCATATTATTTTTGATCCATATATTGTAATTGCTCCGAGGATGTAATAGCTTTAACTTAGGATTTTATTTACCGCTTTTATTTACTTTTCGCATTTAATTTTAAGGGTTTGTTTTTGGCGATGTAAATACCCGACGCCTTGTAATAGCTTAGTTTTATTTTCCGCAATTTATTTTCCGCAATCATTAACTGCTAGATGTTTGAATAATAGGCTATGCATGACAAGATAACCTTTAATTTAAAATCAACTGTAGCTCACCATAACATGTACAAAGATAATATAAACTGAAAATTGACACACTCGCACATGCCACTCTTAGGGTACGCCTCACTTGGTTGCCTCGAACGTGGTCATTGAGTATATGGAGTCTTAGAGGTCGCCATCTTGTCCAAAGATCATAAGTTGCCTCGAAACGGTTGCCTCGGATAAAATGATCTAAGACATTAGGGTTACCACTAAGGCGTTCTAACATTGCTTTAGTGACCACACGTCCCTTAAATCGAATTGACCCGAAAACTCCAACGACGATGCTACCTACTCCTCAATAGTGGGATAGCATTGTCTAAAGGACATTTGCACAGTTTAGTTCCTTTTTGAGTAGGTAGATGTTCTTAAGTACTTGCTCCTTTTAAAACAAAATAAAATTTTTCGCACTTACACTCTCTTCAAAAACAAAACTCTTTTCAAAACCCACAAGCACAAAGAAAAGCAAACTTTTGAAAACATAGTGAAAAAGTACCTAAGAGCCTGTGGATAACCACGAATAGAAAGGGTGCTAACACCTTCCCTTTCTATAATCTACCTCCCGAACCCGAGAGATATCTCGAAAAGGAATTTTTCTGTGCTTTTGTCCTTTCCTTGTTGGATAAAATAAAAGACGGTGGTGACTCTTGCTTACCGCGACATTTTGCGAAAACAAACGCAAAACGCGAACCAGCATTCCAAAAACAGTCAGTTCTCATTCCCACCGATCACACAATGTAATACTAATCTGACATGTATGTTGCTTAATAAAATTACTTCCCCAGGTTTAGCCACGTAGTTGGCGCCTTGATCAAAAAACTTCTTGCAATCGCTGTCATATAGAAATTTCAAAATCTATCCCGCTGATAAGTTTTGCTTCGACATCAAGCATTGCCATAGACAAATAACTCAAATTCTCTAAGTCTTGGATTCCATTTCTGTCGATGGAACTAAAATCGACTGGCTTGTTATTGTCTCTGTCGACTACTTGCTCTTTTGTTCGTCGATCTCCCTTTAATTCTTTATAAGAAATTTCCAACTATCATTATCTTGACTCTAATCTTCTTAAAATCCCTACTCCTAAAAGACACTTTCCTTTCAATTCACAGGATTGTCCTACTAACAATGTAATAAATGCCTTAAAGAAATTTTAACGTAACCCAAATTTTTTTAAGTATTAAATAATAAAAAGAATGATTTTAACGGGAAAAAAATTTATTCTTTTAAGAGTTTACCTTAATTTCTCATTGATAATATAATAAAATATATGATAATATTTTTTATATAAAAGAAAAAGAGTATTATTAATACTAATATATTTATAAATGGCAAAGTGCATTATTGATACAAATATTTTTGTAAATATGAAAAAGTATATTATTGATAAAATAATTTTGGTTAAAAAATTTTGTTTTTATTTTAAAAATATATCTTTTTTTTTAAAATAATAAATTATTTTAGTTAAATAATTTTAGTTTTATTATATATATTTTTATAACATACTAAAAACAAAAACAAAAGCGTGCATATCACACAAATACTCGTGTGAACGTACGAGTAACACACTAATACCGTGTGAGCGTATAAATTGGCATATCAAAATTCGCATGAAAACACAGATTTAATATATGAAAAGTTAAAATATATATTATTCATGTAAAATAATTTTAGTAAAAAAACTTTATTTTTCTTTTAAAAATATATATTTTTTAAAATAATAAATTTTTTAATAAAATAATCTTTTTTTTCTAATTTACATTTTTATTACATTTAAAAATAATTATATTTTTAATTAAAAAAATTTATATATGAAAAAAAATATTAAAATCAATTTATTATCTCTTAAAAAATAATAAATTATTTTAATTAAAGAATTTTATCTTTTTTTCCATATCATTCTTATTATTTTATTATATTTTTAAAACAAAATTGTGCGTGCCTCACAAGTAAGATGAAACCACACGGTGAAAGTTCCTCACTCTCGCAACCAACAAAGGAAAATGAAACCACACGACGTCGTTTTCCATTGGTCCTATCAAACTTAAATTTAAATTGCTCTACCCGCGTTCACCATTCACACTTCAAATTTCAAAACCCAAATCGCCTCATATGTCATCACCGATTACATATCCAGTAATCACCGACGACAAGGATCTCGACGACGCCGCATTATGGGCGATGATCGACTCCGCCTCCGCCTCACATTCATCCTCCAAGCACAAACCATTCGCGATCAAGTACCACAACCGTCAACCACCTTCTCCGATCACAAATCCCTCACCACTGCCTCCACCGTCGAAATTCCCGCGTAATTCCATCGACAGTGGCGAAGTTGTTCAAGATCCTTGGCCTTACGGACCTCCGAGGAAGATCGCGAGAATCTGCGGTCCGAGTTCATGTGAAACGAGTCCTCTAGCTATAGTTCAAACTGTGCAGAAGACGCCGACGGCAATGGTTTATTCGTCACCGGAGATCAGGAAGGTTAATGAGGTATCGCCACGGTGGTTTGGGAGGAATGATGAAGAGAAAGATAACGGTATGAGGCATAGCTTGTCTGGAATATTTCCTACGGTTTCTTTGTTTAAGGAGTATCAAAATGCAGCTATGGCGGTAATTACTCTCATTCATTTGCTTTTTCAAGTAAACATGAAAATAGATTTATTTTCCTTCTCACAATTAGGATATGAACTTAATCTTTTTGATAATCTTAAACTATGATAAACATATGGAATTACCATAATGAAATGACGTGTGCTAACTACAATGACAATCAAGGTTTTAAATACCGGTCGCATTGCAATTGCGTAAAAGGCTTTCGTGATTTCGGTTGGTACAGACGTTGATTGCAATAGTCGCGAATTAACCATAATTTATTCTTTATCACAAAAACGGTGTATAATTATATCAGTATCGGCACCTTCTGATACCGTTTTGTCATTGTTGTTTTTGCCAGACTTTTTTTAGAACCTTGATGACAATTATTTTAACAAATTTCAATTAAGCAATTAGATCACTTTTTTTTTGGAAATCTGCTTGGTGAGTAATGCTCATTGTTACTAATGACATTTTTTTAAACCAACACAACCATTGTGCTACATAGCCTTATTACTAATTGATTGTATAACGTGATAAATTGATAGTAACTTATTCACAGTGATAGTTGTAATAACTTGGTGGTAACTTATTCACAGTGATAGTGTACGGCATTAAACTGATCAATTAATCACTTAAAAAAGGAAGAGAAGCCGCAGTCACATTCTGATTAACTGGTAATAACATATATAACCTGTATTCCTAAGAAAATTTTGCCCGCGAAAGATTAGAAAAGGCTTAGCTTGTAGATATGGTTACAATATTGACTATACCACCATATTTTGTGAAGATAGTTAGCTTCAAAATTATTTAGACAAGTAATCTTAAAAAATTAACTCATCAAATAAGCTTTGTCTATTTTATGTATCCTGGCTAGCTGAAATAATGTTCTCCTGATTTTCATACCTTACTGGGACTGGCCCTTCTCTGGATAAATTCGAAGATCTTTAATCTTTGATATTCTTTTAATATTCTTTTTCAAATAGTACATGTAAGTTTTAAGCTGATGTATCTTAGCAGATACTTCAAGTCTGGATTATTAAATTTCAGAATTGTAATAGATATATTGTAACATTTAGATAGATTATAGAATAACGCAACGGTATCTACAATCTCCACGGCTAATTATGCAACTATCTGAAGATATAAGAGTTTGTGTAATGCAATTATTTGAATTCACATGGGATTTAACTAATATCATCAGTCCTTTATTGTGCGTTCAATGGACAGATTTTGGAGAAAAGTGATTACACTTTGATTTCGGGGAATCCTTACATTAAAAAGACAGGTAAAGTAGAAAGTTTGTCTTCATTCTTAACTGTTAAAACAAGAAAGTTGATGTTACTTAGCGCACATGTTTCTTTTATAGGTTGGAGAAAAATTTCCTGTTACTTCAATATTTCTTACGAAATTAGAGACAAGAATATTGAGTTCGATGGGGATCGCAATGTTCAGCGAGCTGAGTTTGTCATTCGTGCACATATGCAGTATGTTTCATTTTTGTTAATTTTTCATCCAAATGATCACTCTTCTAACCACTGATAATCTACTGTCGCTATTGATTTTTTTCGCTACTCTAGGGGTGGCAGGTTCTCCGATGGATGGGGCTCTTGTGATCGACGTGAAAAGAGATTTCAGAAACCAAATCATGATGTACCGAGCACAGCAGAAACTAGAGCAAAAAATAAAGCTTGTCAGGTATGTCTTATTATCATGTTATGCTTTTTTTTGAATTCATTTCAACCATTTGGTGTGTCCTTCAATAGGCTCTAGTTGCTTATTTCTCATAAGTAAATTGAGTAATTGCAATTAAAAATTGTATGCCAACCTAAAATGATCATTTTTTACTTGTCCTATTGAGTTTGAAAGAGATAAAAGTACAGTCATAAACAAGTAGTTTAGGATAAATTACACAAAAATTATGTTATAATTTAATCATGCAAAGTTATGAATTAACCAATCTAAAATGGTGAAATTTACTTACAATATGGGAAGAAAACAGTATTTTGTAGACTAACAAAGATCATTGTAATATGTTGGTACTTTTACAGGACCTACTAGGAATTGGGGAATACAGACCAGGTACAACAAGTCAGTTTCGGTGATATGATTATTAAAGATTTTTGTAACGATTTAACACGCATATTTGTTGAGGATGAAGTTAATAGAAAATAAGTTGTATACTAAATGAGTTTTTCTTATTTCTTTGAATGTATGATGAATAGTTATAAATTTGAATAAGATTGTCATTTAGCATGTATTTTGATGGAACTCCAAAATCCATTATAAGAAATTAAGCAAAGAAAAGATATCAATGTAAAGGATTCAATAGATTAAGAAAGTGAACAATATAAAAAAAAATTTAATTTCAATTTACTCTAGTAAAACTCCTTAGAGGAGATGACTTTATTTGTCTAACCATAATGATTCATTCACTATTCTATCATAATGGACGTTAACATCACTATTTATGCTAGTAGAGGCAACTAACCTGCATTTATAGATGTTTAAGTTTTTTAAACTTATATTTTCTTGTTTTAAGCTTCCTCTCTAATGATAACAACGAAATAGGGCGGATCCAGACATTACATATTGTTGGGGTTAAATATAAAAGAAATTACAAATTAAATCATATTGAAAATAAAAAATAATATTATTTAATATAATACATTACAATGAAAATCGTCTACCATCCATTTCTTAAAAATGAACTAAAATAATATTATTGTTAATTGTTTCAAGAACATCTCTTTCTATAAAAGTTACAAGATGGTCATTTAACTAATGACCACTCACTTTGTTACATAATTGATTTTTCACAAACTTCATAGTTGAAAAAACACGTTCCGCGCTTGTAGTTGCTACCAACAAGACTAAAGCTAATTTCAGAAGCTTATAAACCATATCAAATGTGCTGCACTTATTTGTTTTCACAAGTTTTGCACAAAGATCTGAAAGTCCTTTTAACTTTGCAAATTTTGGGTTACATCGAACATTTCTAACATAGTTTTGAAGTTGATGTCGCACCACCACTTCCGACACATTTACAAAATCATTTAGATAAAGTTCAACCATCATTAGTAATTTTTTCACATTAAAAGCTGCAAATGATGATGCAGGACTCAAACACGAAACACATTACAAAAGTTCAATATTTTTTTCATCAAACCTAGCATTAAGCTCATGCAACTGCAAATCTAAATCATTAAACAAACAATCATGCTTACAATGATATAAATTAGAAACACTAGAAATTGTAGCATGTCGCCTATGTTTCTTCCCTTGCATATACGGTGCATCCATATGAGGTACATCAATATCATGCTTATTACAAATATCCATAACCTTAGATATAAGTTCTTTCCATCCATCATTCCTCATTTCTTGTAATTCTTGTTTGGTAGCATTGACAAGTGACAAAGCATTCAAAATATCTTGGTCACACTTTTGTAACGCTATACTAAAATCATTTGTAAATTCTAAACGAAGCTATCTTTTTATCTTGTCAAATGCCTCCTGATGGGCTTCATTCCACTCGAAGGCTTGGCCTTGCTTCAAACGAAGCAACGGAGAGAAAGCTTGGGTTCTTCCACTCAGATTCGAAATGAACCTTCTGAGAAAGCTAATCTTCCCTAGCAAAGATTGCAGCTCCTTTTTTGACGTAGGTGCTTTCGTCTCCATTATGGCTTTGGTTTTATTTTGGTTGATCTCGATTCCTTTTTTATGAACCACAAAGCCAAGGAAATCTCCAGCCTGCACAAAAAATGCACATTTAAGGGGGTTCATCTTTAAGCCATGTTTTCTCATTCGTTCGAATGATTGGCTCAAATGGTGCAAATGGGTTTCTACAGATATAGATTTGATGACTATATCATCAATGTATACCTGCATAAAGGTTTCAATGAAATCATGGAAAATCGAATTCACTGCCCTTTGATAAGTTGCCCCAGCATTCTTTAAACCAAAAGGCATCACCACCCACTCGTAGGTGCCTAAGGCTTCTGGGCAACGAAATGTTGTCTTGGCAACATCTTCTTCAGCAATAAAAATCTGATTGTAACCAGAGTATCCATCTAACATACTTAAATATTCGAATCCTGCAGCAGAGTTTACTAACATTTCTGCCACAGGCATGGAGTACTCATCTTTAGGAGTTGCAGTATTTAAATCCCTAAAATCTATGCAAATTCTCAGAGAGCCATTTTTATTAATACCAGGCACTATATTTGCTAACCATTCGACATACCTTGTGGTTCTGATGAATCTGCAGCGCAGCAACCTTTCGATCTCAGCTTTGATCTTTGTGAGGACCGCTGGTGCGAATCTTCTAGGAGTTTGCTTGATGGGCTTCTTGCCATCCTTAATTGGAAGTCTATGCTCCACTAACTCCCTCTTCAAACCAGGCATTTCGTCATAGTCCCACGCGAAGCAATCTTTGTTTTTTTTGAGGACTTCGATCACTTCCTGCTTGAGGCCTGCATTAAGTTTTGCGCTTATGTAGGTTATTCTCTTTGTGTTCTCATCCCCTAAATTCACTTCTTCGAGTGGATCCTGCGCCAACATTTTGGAACCTGAGTCTATGGGGTCCCTTTCGAAGCCTAAGGGTTCTTTATCATAGATGGCATCCAGCATTTGATCTATTTCGAGTTCTTCAAAGGGTGAGCCTTTCGAGCTATCCCCATTTATTTCGTTCGCTTTTACGGCCAATTTATTTATTTCAGCCTCTAAGGCCGCTTTCGATTCGTTCTCAGCCATATAGGCCGAAATCCTTTCGAAGAAGGAGGACTCAATCATGAGCAAGGTTGTCGAATTCCCAGCCTGCTGGCCGTCTTTGCATAGTACCTTCGACTCTTTCATCTTCACTGACTATTCTTCTATCCCAATATATGCCATCATGGCGGAGGGTCATATAATAGTGTGCGTTCCTGGTTTCGTTGATTTCATCATTAGGGACACAAGGAGCAATCTTTTCCAGATGTTTGTCATAATTCCTCTTGTCAACTAAGTTGACTGTTGTCATGAAGTAACTCTGGTCTGCTTCAATGTTCTCCATAATCCCATCTTCTCTCCATAAAACCAACCTCTGATGCATTGACGAAGGAACTGCTCCTACGCCATGGATCCACTCTCTTCCTAACAACAAGTTGTAGTTGGCTTTGGCTTCGATCACCATGAACATGGTGGGCCTACAACTTGATCCTATCGTCAAGTCCAATTGAACTACCCCCAATGTTTGGCCTACTTTCCCTTCATAATTGGACAGAACCATGTTGTGTGGTTTGATGTCACCTTCGCGTATTTCTAACTTTTTCAGCATAAAATGGGGTATTAAGTTAACTGCAGCGCCCCCATCCACTAAAACCTTATTTACGCCATGGGCACCAACCTTTGCCCGAATGAATAATGGCTTCAGATGATTTTTCATAACTGGCTCTGGGCGCTCGAAGAAATCATTCTGTTCCTCGACAGCTCCATTATCCATCACGTAGTAACACACAGGCCTATGCTTCATCAGATCGATTGTATCATCCTCCTCATACTCTTCGATTTTAGTTTCCTGTCCAAACTCACAAGGGAGTACAGATACCACGTTGCAATTGATATTGAGCGAAGACTCCTTGTTGTACCCCAAAATTTTCCCTCCCATACTCTTCAAAGTTTTGACAAGCATCATCTCAATTTGCTCAAGTCTACTCAAGGGTTGCACAGTTCAAACACCCTCTTAAGCCAGTCAAATTAGGGTTTTGGTTCTTGCAAGGAAGTTGAGGTTTTCAAGGGCTCAATCAAGTCCCATATGCTCATATACATTGTCAAGCACCTACATGTCAAGTTTCAAGGCTCACAAGGTCAAGTTGCACAGTCAAAAACCCTAATTGCTTCACAATCAACTGTAGGGGCAAAATGGTCATTTGGAAGTCAAAAGTCAAAAATTTTGGTTAACATCTTATTTTGAAGCCACAATAATCATTTGATCAAGTCTTGATCATGATTCCACAAGAATGGCTCAAAAATCATCAAGATGCAAAAGTTTCTATTTTTGGACAATTGAAAAGTCAACTGTAACTTGACCAAGGCATAACTTTTTCATGGTTCATCAGAAAAATCCCATCCAATGCTCATTTTGAAGGGGATGACATTTACTACAACTCGTCTTCACATTTCAAGTCCAAGAAATGCTCTCACAAAAAGTTATCAATTTCAACATTATAGGTCATTTTCAAAAGTCAACAAAAAGACATTTTAAGTCAAAGACCATAACTTGAGATTGGTAAATCAAAATGACATGGGACCAAAGGCATTGGTTAGAGGACTTCAAGACCTTTCCAAAATGTCCAAGAACATGTTCATATGATCAAAATTGAGCAAGATATGCATTGGAGAAGTTGGGAAATTTTCATGAAATGGCAAAAGTCAACTATCCTTAAAACTTCAATTTTTGACAAAAGGGCCCACTTTTCCCACTTGATTCAGCCTTGTCATGCCACCCACGTGTCCCATGATCAATTTCAAGATTAAACATTAATTTTTCTATTTTTATTTAATTTTATTTGATTTAATTCATTTTAAATCCATAAAATTCAAATAAAATAAAAAAAAATTAATTCAATGACATCTTTTGATTTGAATGGTTTTCATGTGTCATAATACACCTACCAAATTCGTGCCAAGCTGAATTAAGCATGAAAATTCAAATTTGAACAAAATTGGAAAATGCTTTAAAGGTGGTTATGAAGAAATCTCAAAACATCATTGCACAAGGTTAAGGCTCTTAATATTGACTGATTCTCATTAAAACATACATATGCAAGCCTCTCCAATCTTAAGCACGACCTAGAGCTCATTGAAACGGCATAACCAAAATCCAAAAAATCAAGCAAAAGTTGAAATCTGTTTTCTTACTTCCAGGCCATTTCCAAACTTTTAATTGATTCTAATACATTGCCTAAGTCCCCAGGAACCTTTGGAGATCAAAACCACACGTCAACACCCAAGAAAACGCCCCACACGAACTCACGGTTTGCATATTTGTCTCACAATCATAATTCATTATACATGCATCATTGATGAAATTTTTTATGTGATTTATATTGCTAACACTCTTCTG